GCACCGGTCGAGGAGAAGCAGGCCGGGAAGGGTGTTCCGTTGCCCACTTTGCACGGATACCCAGAACGACCACCTCCAAGGGGAGGGTCGACCCGAACTCGCCAGCTTCGTGGCGTCTCCTCGCATCACTCAACCGCGCCTCTAGCGTATCCTCAGCCACCGCGGGCTCTCCCGTGGTAGGAGACATAGCTTGCACAGGCTGCCGGCCTACGAATGACTTAGGTGATGCGGGCCTAGGTCGACTAAACTAAAGGTAAGTTGCGGGGCCGTCCACGCTCACCGCACCATGCGGAGATTAACTCTACAACGGGAGCTAGACTATGGGGAAGGCACGGTTGTGGGAGGGATCGTAGCGTTCGTTAACGTTCTCTGGCACTTGCATCTTCACGGGGCAAAACGGCAAGGGTTTCAGTAGAGAAAGTTGTGAACGATGATTGAAAAATCAAAGCAACAATGGACTACAATAGAATCTAGCAAGCAAGCATGTCGACCTCCAGCACAGCATCGTCGACCGCCGCGCAGCTATGACCACACCGCTCCAACGCTGCAAATAGGCGGCTTGCCAACGTTGCAAGTCGACGGCGTGCCAACGCTGCAGCAAGGCGGCTGCACAACATTGCACCCGCATGACAGCAGCGCACCCGCTTCGCAAGTGCTCGCAGTTGGTTGGCGTGCTGTGCCACGTCACATGCACAACGCAGACGCCAAGCCGACCACGTGCCAACGACTGCGCCTGATCAGCCACGTCGACCTCGGGATACCACCTCCGAGATCGGCTTCGCCAGAACCTCCTGGGCGACTGTCTCGCACCTCAGCGCCCGGGTAACTTGGTCGACCGGGCAACCACGTCGACCAACGGATGCTCCACGTGCCCGTCGACCGCCCAGGTCGACGACCACCGCCTTCTGCCGACTTCACGAAGTCAGCCACTCCCCCAGGTCGACCACCTCTGGACGACCAGGCCTGTTGGTCGCCGACTTCGCCAGGCCGGCGTCCCCAGGGCGGCGCCACGAAGTCAGCGTCGACGCCACGAAGTCGGCGACTCTCCCAGGTCGAGGCCACGAAGTCGGCGTCTCTCCCAGGTTGACGCCACGAAGTCGGCGTCTCTCCCAGGTCGACGCCCTTCTAGGTCGACGAGCCCCGTCGTCGACCACCAGTAGAAGTCGGCCGCCGGCTTCCCAAAGTCGGCGGCTGTGCAGTGGCCCCGTGCAGGTCGACCAAACCTGTCGACATGCGCGCCCAAGTCGACGTCGCCCACTACAGTCGGTCGGCTGCACTTCCCGCACACCCAACCACGAAGTCGACTCCGCCCAAGCGAGGACGGGGCCAACACCCAACTCCCGTTGACACGCCTTGACTACACCGCTCACCTGGTGAGTGGACCTGCTCGTTCTCCGTAATCTGGGGGTGTTCCTTTCTTCCCCTTGGAGGTCCTCGAAGACACGCAGTTCGAGCTTGGTTTCCTGGCGCCCGCTGTTCCTCATCTCTGCGTCATGCTGCTTGCCCCTGAGGGGGATCCAGATGCCCTTGACAACGCACTCACGCCGAGGCCGTCTCGGGACCCTGGGCTTCGTACTGGATAGCAGCTGAGGAGGCAAAGATGCCATCTTATAGGTCCACAGGCACCTACGTCGAAGCCACCCACCACCTGGGGCGAACGTCGTCAGTGGCATGCGGCTCTACAAGGTGAAGCGGCCGCATGGATCACCACCGGTGTTCAAGGCACGCTATCTAGCGAGAGGGGGTAGACTTCTTCCAGACCTACGCTCCTACCCCGAAGATGACCACTCTTTGGGTGTTGCTGCATATCGCAGCTCAGCGAGACCACGGGTTGCACTCTTTGGACTTCTCCACAACGTTTCTTCAAGGGAGCCTGCACGAGCAGATCTGGCTGCGTCGCCCGCCTGGCTTCACTGGCTCTTTCTCTCCTGGGACCCAGTGGCAGCTGCGGCCTACGGACCGGTCTACGGCCTGCGCCACAATCCCCGTGAGTGGCACGACACACTTCGCACCACTCTTGCAGCGCTTGACTTCTTTTTGTCGTCTGCTGACCCGTCGCTCTTCGTCCGCCGCGGCTCGACCCCGTTCTTTGTTCTGGTATACGTTGACGACCTGGTGTTCGCCACTCCCGACTGACGCGCACTGGCCTCCGTGAAGGAGGAACAGCAGAGGACACACACTTGCACTGACCTTGGTGAGCTGCAGCGCTACCTTGGCCTGCAGATCACTAGGGACAGGGCAGCTCGTACCATTACGCTGACGCAGTCGCATATGGTCGAGCAAATCCTCACGCGGTTCCGCTTTCCGTTCTCCAAGGTACAGCTCACCCCTCTTGCTGTGGATCATGGGCTCACGGCTCCACCTTCGGACGAGCCATTTGAGTCCAGCAGTCCATATCCTGAGTTGGTGGGTTGTCTCATGTACCTGATCACCTCCACTCGGCCAGACCTAGCTTACCCTCTTAGCGTCCTGGCGCGCTTTGTTACACCTGGGAGACACCGACCTTCCCACTGGTACGCGGCTAAGAGGGTGGCGAAGTATGTGGCGAGTACATCAGGCATGGGACTTGTCCTTGGAGGGAAGCAGCCAGTTACACTTACAGGTTACTCGGACTCGTCGTGGGCCGACGACGCGGAGTCGCTGCGGTCTACACATGGTTACTATTTCAGTCTTGGGACCGGAGCTGTTTCGAGGAGGTCGACTCGGGCGTCGTCAGTCTCCAGTTCCAGCTGTGAGGCTGAGGTGTACGCTGAGGCCATGGCCGCCCAGGAGCTTCGCTGGCTGTCTTTCCTCCTGAGCGACCTTGGTGAGCGGCCCCGCTCTACCCCAGTCTTGTTCGCCAACAACAGGTCTGATATCCTGTTATGCGAGGAGCCCCGACTGGTTGGGAAGGCGATGCACATCCAGCTTCGTTACTTCCTTCTGCGAAAGTTGCAACAGCGCGGCCAGGCACTCGTGCAACGTGTGGTCTCTGAGGCCAACACTGCAAATATCTTCACCAAAGCGTTGCCGCCTTGTGACCACCAGCGTTTCTGCACCCAGCTTGGCCTTGTGTATACATGCCCTCACTTGCTTGCGTTAGGATGCTTTGTCTTGTACTCTTGCATCTCACTATATATCCTATATATGCGCTTGTTGACAGGCCCTGTGGCCCCTTGCTTCTGTAGAGATGCTTGTCATGCATGTCTTGCACTCTTGCATCTTCTGTATTTGCTATGTCCTTGCATGTGGACTGGCCTTGTGGCCTCTTGCTTGTTCTCGGACTGTGTGGTGATCTTGAGATCCAGCCCGAGACTTGTTTTGTTTTTGTGAACTGGTCTTGTGATCATTGCTTGTTCTTGCTGACTGGTCCTGTGACCCTTGCTTTCAGGCTGTGTGCTGCTTTCCACAGGACTACCGTCACCTAGACTATGGTGGTGTGTCAAACTATAATTGTTATAGTTTGTTTGTTTACTCTAGGTGTTACACTGAGTTTTGCTGTAGAGGGTACAGGTTCAGCTAGTGCGCGGCGTAGCGGAGTGCCTGAGGCCACAGGAACTGGGGGGCACCGGCATGGCACATAGAGGTCCGAGCAACCTCCATGTCCAGGCCGATGGGTCGCTCAGCTACCCCGTTCTGTTCTATCCCCTGACCTTGTCAGAACACCTCTAGGCGTGTGGAAGCAAACTCACCACCACGGTCCGGGTGTAGCCGAAGCCCTCGAAGACCCTGGGTGCCACCCCTCGCTAGTAGCCACGGCAGAACGCAATGGAAGACCTGCAAGCTGCTGGTCAGCAGTCGCCAGAAGAACGTCGTGACCCGACTTGGAGGCCGGGTAATTCGGATGCTGGCGCTGCGAGTGACGGTGAAAGCGGTGGCGAAGGTGCGGGGAGCCGGGCGGCACCGAAGAGAGCACGTGTGGGTGTCCCGACTGCCACTGGAGATGCAGTACCTACTGCCGTGTCTGCTCCAGCTGCTGGTGCGACTGCAGCTGCCGCTACTGCTGCTGCTACCCCTGCTGTTGCGGCTCCTGCTGCTGCTGGGCGTCCGCCCTCTACTACTGCTGCTGCACGTCCTCGCGTTGTTGCTGCCGGACGCCCTCGTGCTGTTGCTGCTTCTGCGGCTGCGCCCACTGCTGTTCAGGGCCGAGTGGGTATTTCTTGGGCTTCTATCAATGCAATGCAGGAGGCCAATAAGTATCCAACCGAGAAGGACCGGGATCCTGTTGTGGAGAGTGCTTTGAAAAAGGGAGAGCCGGGTTTGGTGAAAGGCATGTTCGGGGCGTTGACGAATGATGCCCGGCGATGCCTTACATGCAACACAGAGATTGGGTGGCGGCTTGGAAACACGACATCGGGGGCTCAGCATTTGAAGAGGGCGCACTATCCTAGCCTTCAGATCTGGGTCCGTCGCTTTCTGGCCCCAAACAAGCCCGATGGGCTTGTTTTCCCAGATCGGGGTTGGGGACGTACGGTATCTGATAAGACTAAGTGGCCTTGGGAGCACGCCGACACATGGCCTGACATTCCAGCAGCCGAGGCGGGGGCCGGCCCGAGTGGGTTGACCGGAGGAGCCGCTGATGGGGGGGGGTAGGCAGGGCACCATCGATGCCTATGTCACGGCTCGGGTTGGAGAGCGGCAGCTGCGCGAGGCCCTGGTGATGCTGTTTGCCGTTACTATCCGTTGACAGGCCCGTGGTAAGACATGCGCGCGGTCTCTTTTGTACAGACGCACGGTCTAGTATACTTTGACAAACTGTGCTTTATCCTGTCACCAAACTCTTCTTCCAATCCCAACCATGTCCGTGACTCTCCACCACATGGCAGTTTCGTGACTTCGTCACCTTGCTGAACCCCGACGCGGCACAGCATCTCGGCACACGTTTCCGCCTTGCACGGGACCTGCTGTTCGCGGGCGAGGCGGCTAAGGCTCAGCTTCGACAGCTGTTGACAGGCGACGGTCTGCCGGGGCGGGTGACACTCACCACGGACATATGGACCAGTGAGAACAACGTTGCCTTCATGGTGGTGACTGCTCACCATGTCACCTCGGACTTCAAGCTGCAGCAGATGGTGATCGACTTTAGGCCGCTGGATGGCTGTCACACGGGGGACAAGATAGCCGATGAGCTGGAGCAGGTCATAAGGGAGTGGGCATTGGGTGGTGGTGAGTTCTTCGGCGTGACCACGGACAACGCCGAGAACAGCAACCGGGCGGTTCGTCTGCTGGCCGGCGTCTCTGACCACACACCCGGGTCACGTCCTCGTGACCCCCCCGTGATGTCCCTGTCTCGGCACTTCAAGTAAGTGCCGTCCTCTATTGCTATAAGTGTCTGTAGCATATCGTGCCATGCCAAGTACACCAGTGACCCTATACCATATTGGCTCATAGCCCTCTCTGTATGACATTTCTTGCCATCCAGGTGTGTGGCCCATGTCCTGAACCTCGCAGTGCAGTACGCACTGGCGGTTGAGCCGGTTGCCGAGGCGCTCCGGAGGCTGCGAGCTGTGGCTAGCCACATCGGGTGGTCGGTGCAGCGGTCGGAGCGTTTTTTTGGCATCCAAAAGGAGTATACTGCGACCCGTGCGGCGACGCAGGCAGAGAGGGAGGCAGAGGAAGGGGGGGAGAGGCAGGCAGAGGGGGGTACTGCAGAGGGGGGGGCGGGGCAGGCAGAGGGGGGCAGCAGTGCGCGTAAGCTACCTGATGATTTGCGCCTGATCGTTGACTCGGAAACGCGCTGGGGTTCCACGCTAGAGATGGTGGTGCGGGGGTGTGATCTGCACATTCCTCTCACGATGTACTTCGATGAGTCCACCGTACATATGGGGTTACCACTGGCTATTTCCCCCTTTCCCATTCATTCTATCCCTTACCCACTTTGGAGGGCATGTTCTTATAACGAATAAGAGGCCCATCCATCTCATGTCGGATCTAAAGTCTTCCCATACCCCATCCCATCACTATGTCATTCCCCCATGTCACATTCACTTCATCCCTTACCCACTTTGGAGGGCATGTTCTTATATCGAATGAGAGGCCTGTGGGATCTAAAGTCTTCCCATACCCCATCCCATCACTATGTCATTCCCCCATGTCACATTCACTTCATCCCTTACCCACTTTGGAGGGCATGTTCTTATAACGAATGAGAGGCCCATCCATCTCATGTAGGCTCTAAAGTTTTCCAATCTCCCATCCCAACATTTTGCCTAAACCCCAACGGTCCTACCGATTCCAACAACCATCGCTTTCCTCTCTCACCCTCTCAGCCTAACATCACCAAGGCCACACGCGAGGCATGGGCAGCGATCAGGCTGTCCGATGCTCACTGGTCAGCCCTCAACGAGCTGCGTGCTTTCCTTGAGCCATTTGTCCGCATCAGCCTGTTCGTGGAGGGGTCTTTGTACCCCACCATGGGGTCGGTCGTGCCGCAGTACAATATGCTCCTGGATATTCTTGATGAGGGTCAGTATTCGCCAGACGTCTCGCAGCTGTGCAGGGACCTGTCCAAACGGGATTTGAGCAAGTTGGAGCGACACATGGGGGGGGTGAACGAGGAGGCGGCGATTGCCACCTTCCTCGATCCTCGGCTCAAGACGGCGACCTTCAGGCTCAGGGCCCGGGGGGCGAGGACTAGCGCGCCCATTGTGGTGGAGGCGGGGGGGCATGCCAGGGGGGCCAGGACACTCGACCTGAGCGAGGAGCGGGTGAAGGCGCTCGTACACGAGCGCCTTCCACCGTACCAGACAGCGGTTCGTGCAGCGGTAGATGCACGCGTTGGGGGTGAGGTCACGAGCGCTAGGGGAGTGTCGGGGGGGGGCGCGGCAGTGGGCGGGTCTGCAGGGCGTAGGGGGACCAGGTCGCGTGGCGTGCTAGACTTTCAGGCTAGGCTGTTTGCAGACTTGGCAGAGATGGAGGCAGAGGAGGGGGTGGGGGTACAGGACGAGGTGGACCAGTATATAGCTGAGGCGAGGCAGAAGGGAGGGTGCTCCTTAGAGTACTGACGAGGGAGGGAGCAGCAGCTGCCCGGGCTTAGGGCCATGGCACGCGATTATCTCGGTATCCCCGCCACGTCTGCGGCGAGTGAGAGAGCCTTCAATCAGAGCAGGAACATCATCTGGTGGCAGCAGCATCGTCCGAGCCCACATCAGATGCGTGCGGCCATGATGATCAAGACTTGGCAGGATCACCACCCTCATGAGAGGCTTGAGATTCGTGGTGGCACTAGGAACACGCTGGCGCAGCTGTGCCTTGAGGCAGAGCAACTGGGGTTGTGAGAGACTGATGCTCGGGGACAGTTGATGACTTGATTCGTTGTGGCACTGTTGTATGTATTAACGGCCTTCTTGTTTGTGCGGTAGCATGCACTAGTGGTGCCAGCATTGCGATTTTATTAGCGGACAAATTTAAAGTGTGCTTGACCTTAATGCAATTGTTGTAGTGGACCCAATTTAAAACCCCCACAAACCGTTGTTTGGTTACGATTCGCACGCCTGTCAACCAGAAGTTCACACTACATGTCAAGGAAAGTGTCGGGTCGGGCCGGCTGTTCCAAGAATCTGGCCCAAGTGTGGCCCGACCCGACCCAACCCGAAAGCCCGTGAGGCCCGGCCAAGTCGGGTCGAGTCGGGTCGGGTCGGGTCGGGCCATATGCTCAACTCTAGGCAGAAAGGCGGATAGAGAGGAAGAAGGGCGGATAGAGAGGAAGAAGGGCGGATAGAGAGGAAGAAGGGCGGATAGAGGGGAAGAAGGGCGGATAGAGAAGAAGAAGGGCGGATAGAGAGGAAGGAGGGCGGATTGATAGGAAAAAGGGCGGATAGAGAGGAAGAAGGGCGGAAAGAGAGGAAGAAGGGCGGATAGAGAGGAAGAAGGGCGGATAGAGAGGACTAAGGGCGGATAGAGAGGAAGAAGGGCGGATAGAGAGGAAGAAGGGCGGATAGAGAGGAAGAAGGGCGGATAAAGAGGAAGAAGGGCGGATAGAGAAGAAGAAGGGCGGATAGAGAGGAAGAAGGGCGGATAGAGAAGAAGAAGGGCAGATTGATAGGAAGAAGGGCGGATAGGGAAGAAGAAGGGCGGATAGAGAGGAAGAAGGGCGGATAGAGAGGAAGAAGGGCGGATAGAGAGGAAGGAGGGCGGATAGAGAGGAAGGAGGGCGGATTGATAGGAAGAAGGGCAGATAGAGAGGAAGAAGGGCGGATAGAGAGGAAGAAGGGCGGATAGAGAGGAAGAAGGGCGGATAGAGAGGAAGAAGGGCGGAAAGAGAGGAAGAAGGGCAGATAGAGAGGAAGAAGGGCGGATAGGGAGGAAGAAGGGCGGATAGGGAGGAAGAAGGGCGGATAGAGAGGAAGAAGGGCGGATAGAGAGGAAGAAGGGCGGATAGAGAAGAAGAAGGGCGGATAGAGAGGAAGAAGGGCGGAGAGAGAGGAAGAAGGGCGGATAGAGAGGAAGGAGGGCGGATTGATAGGAAGAAGGGCGGATAGAGAGGAAGAAGGACGGATCGAGAGGAAGAAGGGCGGATAAAGACGAAGAAGGGCGGATAGAGAAGAAGAAGGGCGGATAGAGAGGAAGGAGGGCGGATAGAGAGGAAGGAGGGCGGATAGAGAGGAAGGAGGGCGGATTGATAGGAAGAAGGGCAGATAGAGAGGAAGAAGGGCGGATAGAGAGGAAGAAGGGCGGATAGAGAGGAAGAAGGGCGGATAGAGAGGAAGAAGGGCGGAAAGAGAGGAAGAAGAGCGGATAGAGAGGAAGAAGGGCGGATAGGGAGGAAGAAGGGCGGATAGGGAGGAAGAAGGGCGGATAGAAAGGAAGAAGGGCGGATAGAGAGGAAGAAGGGCGGATAGAGAAGAAGAAGGGCGGATAGAGAGGAAGAAGGGCGGATAGAGAGGAAGACGGGCGGATAGAGAGGAAGGAGGGCGGATTGATAGGAAGAAGGGCGGATAGAGAGGAAGAAGGGCGGATAGAGAGGAAGAAGGGCGGATAAAGACGAAGAAGGGCGGATAGAGAAGAAGAAGGGCGGATAGAGAGGAAGAAGGGCGGATAGAGAAGAAGAAGGGCGGATAGAGAGGAAGAATGGCGGATAGAGAGGAAGAAGGGCTGATAGAGAGGAAGGAGGGCGGATTGATAGGAAGAAGGGCGGATAGAGAGGAAGAAGGGCGGATAGAGAGGAAGAAGAGCGGATAGAGAAGAAGAAGGGCGGATAGAGAGGAAGAAGGGCGGATAGAGAAGAAGAAGGGCGGATAGTGAGGAAGGAGGGCGGATTGATAGGAAGAAGGGCGGATAGAGAGGAAGAAGGGCGGATAGAGAGGAAGAAGGGCGGAAAGAGAGGAAGAAGGGCGGATAGAGAGGACGAAGGGCAGATAGAGAGGAAGAAGGGCGGATAGAGAGGACGAAGGGCGGATAGAGAGGAAGAAGGGCGTATAAAGAGGACGAAGGGCGGATAATGAGGAAAAAGGGCGGATAGAGAGGACGAAGGGCGGATAGAGGGGAAGAAGGGCGGATAGAGAGGACGAAGGGTGGATAGAGAGGAAGAAGGGCGGATAGAGAGGAAGGAGGGCGGATTGATAGGAAGAAGGGCAGATAGAGAGGAAGAAGGGCGGATAGAGAGGAAGAAGGGCGGATAAAGACGAAGAAGGGCGGATAGAGAAGAAGAAGGGCGGATAGAGAGGAAGAAGGGCGGATAGAGAAGAAGAAGGGCGGATAGAGAGGAAGAAGGGCGGAGAGAGAGGAAGAAGGGCGGATAGAGAGGAAGGAGGGCGGATTGATAGGAAGAAGGGCGGATAGAGAGGAAGAAGGACGGATCGAGAGGAAGAAGGGCGGATAAAGACAAAGAAGGGCGGATAGAGAAGAAGAAGGGCGGATAGAGAGGAAGGAGGGCGGATAGAGAGGAAGGAGGGCGGATAGAGAGGAAGGAGGGCGGATTGATAGGAAGAAGGGCAGATAGAGAGGAAGAAGGGCGGATAGAGAGGAAGAAGGGCGGATAGAGAGGAAGAAGGGCGGATAGAGAGGAAGAAGGGCGGAAAGAGAGGAAGAAGAGCGGATAGAGAGGAAGAAGGGCGGATAGGGAGGAAGAAGGGCGGATAGGGAGGAAGAAGGGCGGATAGAGAGGAAGAAGGGCGGATAGAGAGGAAGAAGGGCGGATAGAGAAGAAGAAGGGCGGATAGAGAGGAAGAAGGGCGGATAGAGGGGAAGAAGGGCGGATAGAGAGGAAGGAGGGCGGATTGATAGGAAGAAGGGCGGATAGAGAGGAAGAAGGGCGGATAGAGAGGAAGAAGGGCGGATAAAGACGAAGAAGGGCGGATAGAGAAGAAGAAGGGTGGATAGAGAGGAAGAAGGGCGGATAGAGAAGAAGAAGGGCGGATAGAGAGGAAGAAGGGCTGATAGAGAGGAAGGAGGGCGGATTGATAGGAAGAAGGGCGGATAGAGAGGAAGAAGGGCGGATAGAGAGGAAGAAGAGCGGATAGAGAAGAAGAAGGGCGGATAGAGAGGAAGAAGGGCGGATAGTGAGGAAGAAGGGCGGATAGTGAGGAAGAAGGGCGGATAGAGAAGAAGAAGGGCGGATAGTGAGGAAGGAGGGCGGATTGATAGGAAGAAGGGTGGATAGAGAGGAAGAAGGGCGGATAGAGAGGAAGAAGGGCGGAAAGAGAGGAAGAAGAACGGATAGAGAGGACGAAGGGCAGATAGAGAGGAAGAAGGGCGGATAGAGAGGACGAAGGGCGGATAGAGAGGAAGAAGGGCGTATAAAGAGGACGAAGGGCGGATAATGAGGAAAAAGGGCGGATAGAGAGGACGAAGGGCGGATAGAGGGGAAGAAGGGCGGATAGAGAGGACGAAGGGTGGATAGAGAGGAAGAAGGGCGGATAGAGAGGAAGGAGGGCGGATTGATAGGAAGAAGGGCGGATAGAGAGGAAGAAGGGCGGATAGAGAGGAAGAAGGGCGGATAAAGACGAAGAAGGGCGGATAGAGAAGAAGAAGGGCGGATAGAGAGGAAGAAGGGCGGATAGAGAAGAAGAAGGGCGGATAGAGAGGAAGAATGGCGGATAGAGAGGAAGAAGGGCTGATAGAGAGGAAGGAGGGCGGATTGATAGGAAGAAGGGCGGATAGAGAGGAAGAAGGGCGGATAGAGAGGAAGAAGAGCGGATAGAGAAGAAGAAGGGCGGATAGAGAGGAAGAAGGGCGGATAGAGAAGAAGAAGGGCGGATAGTGAGGAAGGAGGGCGGATTGATAGGAAGAAGGGCGGATAGAGAGGAAGAAGGGCGGATAGAGAGGAAGAAGGGCGGAAAGAGAGGAAGAAGGGCGGATAGAGAGGACGAAGGGCAGATAGAGAGGAAGAAGGGCGGATAGAGAGGACGAAGGGCGGATAGAGAGGAAGAAGGGCGTATAAAGAGGACGAAGGGCGGATAATGAGGAAAAAGGGCGGATAGAGAGGACGAAGGGCGGATAGAGGGGAAGAAGGGCGGATAGAGAGGACGAAGGGTGGATAGAGAGGAAGAAGGGCGGATAGAGAGGAAGGAGGGCGGATTAATAGGAAGAAGGGCAGATAGAGAGGAAGAAGGGCGGATAGAGAGGAAGAAGGGCGGATAGAGAAGAAGAAGGGCGGATCGAGAAGAAGAAGGGCGGATAGAGAGGAAGAAGGGAGGATAGAGAAGAAGAAGGGCGGATAGAGAGGAAGAAGGGCGGATAGAGAGGAAGAAGGGCAGATAGAGAGGAAGGAGGGCGGATAGAGAGGAAGGAGGGCGGATTGATAGGAAGAAGGGCAGATAGAGAGGAAGAAGGGCGGATAGAGAGGAAGAAGGGCGGATAGAGAGGAAGAAGGGCGGATAGAGAAGAAGAAGGGCGGATAGAGAGGAAGAATGGCGGATAGAGAGGAAGAAGGGCTGATAGAGAGGAAGGAGGGCGGATTGATAGGAAGAAGGGCGGATAGAGAGGAAGAAGGGCGGATAGAGAGGAAGAAGAGCGGATAGAGAAGAAGAAGGGCGGATAGAGAGGAAGAAGGGCGGATAGAGAAGAAGAAGGGCGGATAGTGAGGAAGGAGGGCGGATTGATAGGAAGAAGGGCGGATAGAGAGGAAGAAGGGCGGATAGAGAGGAAGAAGGGCGGAAAGAGAGGAAGAAGGGCGGATAGAGAGGACGAAGGGCAGATAGAGAGGAAGAAGGGCGGATAGAGAGGACGAAGGGCGGATAGAGAGGAAGAAGGGCGGATAGAGAGGACGAAGGGCGGATAGAGAGGAAAAAGGGCGGATAGAGAGGACGAAGGGCGGATAGAGAGGAAGAAGGGCGGATAGAGAGGACGAAGGGCGGATAGAGAGGAAGAAGGGCGGATAGAGAGGAAGAAGGGCGGATAGAGAGGAAGGAGGGCGGATTGATAGGAAGAAGGGCAGATAGAGAGGAAGAAGGGCGGATAGAGAGGAAGAAGGGCGGATAGAGAGGAAGAAGGGCGGATAGAGAGGAAGAAGGGCGGATAGAGAGGAAGAAGGGCGGATAGAGAAGAAGAAGGGCGGATAGAGAGGAAGGAGGGCGGATTGATAGGAAGAAGGGCGGATAGAGAGGAAGAAGGGCGGATAGAGAGGACGAAGGGCGGAAAGAAAGGAAGAAGGGCGGATAGAGAGGACGAAGGGCAGATAGAGAGGAAGAAGGGCGGATAGAGAGGACGAAGGGCGGATAGAGAGGAAGAAGGGCGGATAGAGAGGAAGAAGGGCGGATAGAGAGGAAGAAGGGCGGATAGAGAGGAAGAAGGGCGGACAGAGAGGAAGAAGGGCGGATAGAGAGGAAGAAGGGCGGACAGAGAGGAAGAAGGGCGGATAGAGAGGAAGAAGGGCGGATAAAGACGAAGAAGGGCGGATAGAGAAGAAGAAGGGCGGATAGAGAGGAAGAAGGGCGGATAGAGAAGAAGAAGAAGGGCGGATAGAGAGGAAGGAGGGCGGATTGATAGGAAGAAGGGCGGATAGAGAGGAAGAAGGGCGCATAGAGAGGACGAAGGTCGGAAAGAAAGGAAGAAGGGCGGATAGAGAGGACGAAGGGCAGATAGAGAGGAAGAAGGGCGGAAAGAGAGGACGAAGGGCGGATAGAGAGGAAGAAGGGCGGATAGAGAGGACGAAGGGCGGATAGAGAGGAAAAAGGGCGGATAGAGAGGACGAAGGGCAGATAGAGAGGAAGAAGGGCGGATAGAGAGGAAGAAGGGCGGATAGAGAGGAAGAAGGGCGGATAGAGAGGAAGAAGGGCGGACAGAGAGGAAGAAGGGCGGATAGAGAGGAAGAAGGGCGGACAGAGAGGAAGAAGGGCGGATAGAGAGGAAGAAGGGCGGATAAAGACGAAGAAGGGCGGATAGAGAAGAAGAAGGGCGGATAGAGAGGAAGAAGGGCGGATAGAGAAGAAGAAGAAGGGAGGATAGTGAGGAAGGAGGGCGGATTGATAGGAAGAAGGGCGGATAGAGAGGAAGAAGGGCGGATAGAGAGGAAGAAGGGCGGAAAGAGAGGAAGAAGGGCGGATAGAGAGGACGAAGGGCAGATAGAGAGGAAGAAGGGCGGAAAGAGAGGACGAAGGGCGGATAGAGAGGAAGAAGGGCGGATAGAGAGGACGAAGGGCGGATAGAGAGGAAAAAGGGCGGATAGAGAGGACGAAGGGCGGATAGAGAGGAAGAAGGGCGGATAGAGAGGACGAAGGGCAGATAGAGAGGAAGAAGGGCGGATAGAGAGGAAGAAGGGCGGATAGAGAGGAAGGAGGGCGGATTGATAGGAAGAAGGGCAGATAGAGAGGAAGAAGGGCGGATAGAGAGGAAGAAGGGCGGATAGAGAAGAAGGGCAGATAGAGAGGAAGAAGGGCGGATAGAGAGGAAGAAGGGCGGATAGAGAGGAAGAAGGGCGGATAGAGAGGAAGGAGGGCGGATAGAGAGGAAGGAGGGCGGATTGATAGGAAGGAGGGCGGATAGGGAGGAAGAAGGGCGGATAGGGAGGAAGAAGGGCGGATAGCGAGGAAGAAGGGCGGATAGCGAGGAAGAAGGGCGGATAGGGAGGAAGAAGGGCGGATAGGGAGGAAGAAGGGCGGATAGGGAGGAAGAAGGGCGGATAGAGAGGAAGAAGGGCGGATAGAGAGGAAGAAGGGCGGATAGAGAGGAAGAAGGGCGGATAGAGAGGAAGAAGGGCGGATAGAGAGGAAGAAGGGCGGATTGATAGGAAGAAGGGCGGATTGATAGGAAGAAGGGCGGATTGAAGGGAAGAAGGGCGGATAGGGAAGAAGAAGGGCGGATAGAGAGGAAGAAGGGCGGATAGAGAGGAAGGAGGGCGGATAGAGAGGAAGCAGGGCGGATAGAGAGGAAGTAGGGCGGATTGAGAGGAAGAAGGGCGGATAGAGAGGAAGAAGGGCGGATAGAGAGGAAGAAGGGCGGATAGAGAGGAAGGAGGGCGGATAGAGAAGAAGAAAGGCGGATAGAGAAGAAGAAAGGCGCATAGAGAGGAAGAAGGGCGGATAGGGAGGAAGAAGGGCGGATAGAGAGGAAGAAGGGCGGATAGAGAGGAAGAAGGGCGGATAGAGAGGAAGGAGGGCGGATAGAGAGGAAGGAGGGCGGATTGATAGGAAGAAGGGCAGATAGAGAGGAAGAAGGGCGGATAGAGAGGAAGAAGGGCGGATAGAGAGGAAGAAGGGCGGATAGAGAGGAAGAAGGGCGGATAGAGAAGAAGAAGGGCGGATAGAGAGGAAGAATGGCGGATAGAGAGGAAGAAGGGCTGATAGAGAGGAATGAGGGCGGATTGATAGGAAGAAGGGCGGATAGAGAGGAAGAAGGGCGGATAGAGAGGAAGAAGAGCGGATAGCGAAGAAGAAGGGCGGATAGAGAGGAAGAAGGGCGGATAGAGAAGAAGAAGGGCGGATAGTGAGGAAGGAGGGCGGATTGATAGGAAGAAGGGCGGATAGAGAGGAAGAAGGGCGGATAGAGAGGAAGAAGGGCGGAAAGAGAGGAAGAAGGGCGGATAGAGAGGACGAAGGGCAGATAGAGAGGAAGAAGGGCGGATAGAGAGGACGAAGGGCGGATAGAGAGGAAGAAGGGCGGATAGAGAGGACGAAGGGCGGATAGAGAGGAAAAAGGGCGGATAGAGAGGAAGAAGGGCGGATAGAGAGGACGAAGGGCGGATAGAGAGGAAGAAGGGCGGATAGAGAGGAAGAAGGGCGGATAGAGAGGAAGAAGGGCGGATAGAGAGGAAGAAGGGCGGATTGAGAGGAAGGAGGGCGGATAGAGAGGAAGAAGGGCGGATAGAGAGGACGAAGGGCGGATAGAGAGGAAAAAGGGCGGATAGAGAGGACGAAGGGCGGATAGAGAGGAAGAAGGGCGGATAGAGAGGACGAAGGGCAGATAGAGAGGAAGAAGGGCGGATAGAGAGGAAGAAGGGCGGATAGAGAGGAAGGAGGGCGGATTGATAGGAAGAAGGGCAGATAGAGAGGAAGAAGGGCGGATAGAGAGGAAGAAGGGCGGATAGAGAAGAAGGGCAGATAGAGAGGAAGAAGGGCGGATAGAGAGGAAGAAGGGCGGATAGAGAGGAAGAAGGGCGGATAGAGAGGAAGGAGGGCGGATAGAGAGGAAGGAGGGCGGATTGATAGGAAGGAGGGCGGATAGGGAGGAAGAAGGGCGGATAGGGAGGAAGAAGGGCGGATAGCGAGGAAGAAGGGCGGATAGCGAGGAAGAAGGGCGGATAGGGAGGAAGAAGGGCGGATAGGGAGGAAGAAGGGCGGATAGGGAGGAAGAAGGGCGGATAGAGAGGAAGAAGGGCGGATAGAGAGGAAGAAGGGCGGATAGAGAGGAAGAAGGGCGGATAGAGAGGAAGAAGGGCGGATAGAGAGGAAGAAGGGCGGATTGATAGGAAGAAGGGCGGATTGATAGGAAGAAGGGCGGATTGAAGGGAAGAAGGGCGGATAGGGAAGAAGAAGGGCGGATAGAGAGGAAGAAGGGCGGATAGAGAGGAAGGAGGGCGGATAGAGAGGAAGCAGGGCGGATAGAGAGGAAGTAGGGCGGATTGAGAGGAAGAAGGGCGGATAGAGAGGAAGAAGGGCGGATAGAGAGGAAGAAGGGCGGATAGAGAGGAAGGAGGGCGGATAGAGAAGAAGAAAGGCGGATAGAGAAGAAGAAAGGCGCATAGAGAGGAAGAAGGGCGGATAGGGAGGAAGAAGGGCGGATAGAGAGGAAGAAGGGCGGATAGAGAGGAAGAAGGGCGGATAGAGAGGAAGGAGGGCGGATAGAGAGGAAGGAGGGCGGATTGATAGGAAGAAGGGCAGATAGAGAGGAAGAAGGGCGGATAGAGAGGAAGAAGGGCGGATAGAGAGGAAGAAGGGCGGATAGAGAGGAAGAAGGGCGGATAGAGAAGAAGAAGGGCGGATAGAGAGGAAGAATGGCGGATAGAGAGGAAGAAGGGCTGATAGAGAGGAATGAGGGCGGATTGATAGGAAGAAGGGCGGATAGAGAGGAAGAAGGGCGGATAGAGAGGAAGAAGAGCGGATAGAGAAGAAGAAGGGCGGATAGAGAGGAAGAAGGGCGGATAGAGAAGAAGAAGGGCGGATAGTGAGGAAGGAGGGCGGATTGATAGGAAGAAGGGCGGATAGAGAGGAAGAAGGGCGGATAGAGAGGAAGAAGGGCGGAAAGAGAGGAAGAAGGGCGGATAGAGAGGACGAAGGGCAGATAGAGAGGAAGAAGGGCGGATAGAGAGGACGAAGGGCGGATAGAGAGGAAGAAGGGCGGATAGAGAGGACGAAGGGCGGATAGAGAGGAAAAAGGGCGGATAGAGAGGACGAAGGGCGGATAGAGAGGACGAAGGGCGGATAGAGAGGAAGAAGGGCGGATAGAGAGGAAGAAGGGCGGATAGAGAGGAAGAAGGGCGGATAGAGAGGAAGAAGGGCGGATTGAGAGGAAGGAGGGCGGATAGAGAGGAAGAAGGGCGGATAGAGAGGAAGAAGGGCGGATAGAGAGGAAGAAGGGCGGATAGAGAGGAAGAAGGGCGGATTGAGAGGAAGGAGGGCGGATTGAGAGGAAGGAGGGCGGATTGATAGGAAGAAGGGCAGATAGAGAGGAAGAAGGGCGGATAGAGAAGAAGGGCCGATAGAGAGGAAGAAGGGCCGATAGAGAGGAAGAAGGGCGGATAGAGAGGAAGAAGGGCAGATAGAGAGGAAGGAGGGCGGATAGAGAGGAAGGAGGGCGGATTGATAGGAAGGAGGGCGGATTGATAGGAAGGAGGGCGGATAGGGAGGAAGAAGGGCGGATAGCGAGGAAGAAGGGCGGATAGCGAGGAAGAAGGGCGGATAGCGAGGAAGAAGGGCGGATAGGGAGGAAGAAGGGCGGATAGGGAGGAAGTAGGGCGGATAGGGAGGAAGAAGGGCGGATAGAGAGGAAGAAGGGCGGATAGAGAGGAAGAAGGGCGGATAGAGAGGAAGAAGGGCGGATAGAGAGGAAGAAGGGCGGATAGAGAGGAAGAAGGGCGAATTGATAGGAAGAAGGGCGGATTGATAGGAAGAAGGGCGGATTGAAGGGAAGAAGGGCGGATAGGGAAGACATAGAGAGGAAGAAGGGCGGATAGAGAGGAAGAAGGGCGGATAGAGAGGAAGAAAGGCGGATAGAGAGGAAGAAAGGCGGATAGAGAGGAAGAAGGGCGGAAAGAGAGGAAGAAGGGCGGATAGGGAGGAAGAAGGGCGGATAGAGAGGAAGAAGGGCCGAGAGAGAGGAAGAAGGGCGGATAGAGAGTAAGAAGGGCGGATAGAGAGGACGAAGGGCGGATAGAGAGGAAGAATGGCGGATAGAGAAGAAGAAGGGCTGATAGAGAGGAAGGAGGGCGGATTGATAGGAAGAAGGGCGGATAGAGAGGAAGAAGGGCGGTTAGAGAGGAAGAAGGGCGGATAGAGAGGAAGAAGGGCGGATAGAGAGGAAGGAGGGCGGATAGAGAGGAAGGAGGGCGGATATAGAGGAAGGAGGGCGGATAGAGAGGAAGGAGGGCGGATAGAGAGGAAGAAGGGCGGATAGAGAGGAAGGAGGGCGGATTGATAGGAAGGAGGGCGGATAGAGAGGAAGGAGGGCGGATTGATAGGAAGGAGGGCGGATTGAGAGGAAGAAGGGCGGATAGAGAGGAAGAAGGGCGGATAGAGAGGAAGAATGGGGGATAGAGAGGAAGAAGGGCGGATAGAGAGGAAGAAGGGCGCATAGAGAGGAAGAAGGGCGGATAGAGAGGAAGAAGGGCGGATAGAGAGGAAGAAGGGCGGATACAGAGGAAGAAGGGCGGATAGAGAGGAAGAAGGGCTGATAGAGAGGAAGGAGGGCGGATAGAGTGGAAGGAGGGGAGATAGAGAGGAAGAAGGGCGGATAGAGAGGACGAAGGGCGGATAAAGAGGAAGAAGGGCGGATAGAGAGGAAGAAGGGCGGATAGAGAGGAAGAAGGGCGGATAGAGAGGAAGAAGGGCGGATAGAGAGAAAGAAGGGCGGATAGAGAGGAAGGAGGGCGGATTGATAGGAAGAAGGGCGGATAGAGCAGAAGAAGGGCGGATAGAGAGGAAGAAGGGCGGATAGAGAGGAAGAAGGGCGGATAGAGAGGAAGAAGGGCAGATAGAGAGGAAGAAGGGCGGATAGAGAGGAAGAAGGGCAGATAGAGAGGAAGAAGGGCAGATAGAGAGGAAGAAGGGTGGATAGAGAGGAAGGAGGGCGGATAGAGAGGAAGAAGGGCGGATAGAGAGGAAGAATGGCCGATAGAGAGGAAGGAGGGCGGATTGATAGGAAGAAGGGCGGATAGAGAAGAAGAAGGGCAGATAGAGAGGAAGAAGGGCGGATCGAGAGGAAGAAGGGCGGATAGAGAGGAAGAAGGGCGGATAGGGAGGAAGAAGGGCGGATAGAGAGGAAGAAGGGCGGATAGAGAAGAAGGGCGGATAGAGAGGAAGAAGGGCGGATAGAGAAGAAGAAGGGCGGATAGAGAGGAAGAAGGGCGGATAGAGAGGAAGAAGGGCGGATAGAGAAGAAGAAGGGCGGATAGAGAGGAAGAAGGGCGGATAGAGAAGAAGAAGGGCGGATAGAGAGGAAGGAGGGCGGATTGATAGGAAGAAGGGCGGATAGAGAGGAAGAAGGGCGGATAGAGAAGAAGAAGGGCGGATAGAGAGGAAGAATGGCGGATAGAGAAGAAGAAGGGCTGATAGAGAGGAAGGAGGGCGGATTGATAGGAAGAAGGGCGGATAGAGAGGAAGGAGGGCGGATAGAGAGGAAGAAGGGCGGATAGAGAGGAAGAAGGGCGGATAGAGAGGAAGGAGGGCGGATAGAGAGGAAGGAGGGCGGATTGATAGGAAGAAGGGCGGATTGAGAGGAAGAAGGGCGGATAGAGAGGAAGAAGGGGGGATAGAGAGGAAGAAGGGCGGATAGAGAAGAAGAAGGGCGGATAGAGAGGAAGAAGGGCGGATAGAGAGGAAGAAGGGCGGATAGAGAGGAAGAAGGGCAGATAGAGAGGAAGAAGGGCGGATAGAGAGGAAGAAGGGCGGATAGAGAGGAAGAAGGGCCGATAGAGAGGAAGAAGGGCCGATAGAGAGGAAGGAGGGCGGATTGAGAGGAAGAAGGGCGGATAGAGCAGAAGAAGGGCGGATAGAGCAGAAGAAGGGCGGATAGAGAGGAAGAAGGGCGGATTGATAGGAAGAAGGGCGGATAGAGAGGACGAAGGGCGGATAGAGAGGACGAAGGGCGGATAGAGAGGAAGAAGGGCGGATAGAGAGGACGAAGGGCGGATAGAGAGGAAGAAGGGCGGAAGGAGAGGAAGAAGGGCGGATAGAGAGGAAAGAGGGCGGATTGATAGGAAGAAGGGCGGATAGAGAGGAAGAAGGGCGGATAGAGAGGACGAAGGGCGGATCGAGAAGAAGAAAAATTGCGGATAGAGAGGAAGGAGGGCGGATTGATAGGAAGAAGGGCGGATAGAGAGGAAGAAGGGCGGATAGAGAGGAAGAAGGGCGAATAAAGAGGAGAAGAGCGGATAGAGAAGAAGGGCGGATAGAGAGGAAGAAGGGCGGATAGAGAAGAAGAAGGGCGGATAGAGAGGAAGGAGGGCGGATTGATAGGAAGAAGGGCGGATAGAGAGGAAGAAGGGCGGATAGAGAAGAAGAAGGGCGGATAGAGAGGAAGAATGGCGGATAGAGAAGAAGAAGGGCTGATAGAGAGGAAGGAGGGCGGATTGATAGGCAGAAGGGCGGATAGAGAGGAAGAAGGGCGGATAGAGAGGACGAAGGGCGGATAGAGAGGACGAAGGGCGGATAGAGAGGACGAAGGGCGGATAGAGAGGAAGAAGGGCGGAAAGAGAGGAAGGAGGGCGGATTGATAGGAAGAAGGGCGGATAGAGAAGAAGAAGGGCGGATAGAGAGGAAGAAGGGCGGAAAGAGTGGAAGAAGGGCGGATAGAGTGGACGAAGGGCAGATAGAGAGGAAGAAGGGCGGATAGAGAGGACGAAGGGCGGATAGAGAGGAAGAAGGGCGGATAGAGAGGACGAAGGGCGGATAGAGAGGAAAAAGGGCGGATAGAGAGGACAAAGGGCGGATAGAGAGGAAGAAGGGCGGATAGAGAGGACGAAGGGCGGATAGAGAGGAAGAAGGGCGGATAGAGAGGACGAAGGGCGGATAGAGAGGAAGAAGGGCGGATAGAGAGGAAGAAGGGCGGATAGAGAGGAAAAAGGGCGGATAGAGAGGACGAAGGGCGGATAGAGAGGAAGAAGGGCGGATAGAGAGGACGAAGGGCGGATAGAGAGGAAGAAGGGCGGATAGAGAGGACGAAGGGCGGATAGAGAGGAAGGAGGGCGGATTGATAGGAAGAAGGGCGGATAGAGAGGAAGAAGGGCGGATAGAGAGGAACAAGGGCGGATAGAGAGGAAGAAGGGCGGATAGAGATGAAGAAGGGCGGATAGAGAGGAAGGAGGGCGGATTGATAGAAAGAAGGGCGGAAAGAGAGGAAGAAGGGCGGATAGGGAGGAAGAAGGGCGGATAGAGAGGAAGAAGGGCGGATAGAGAAGAAGGGCGGATAGAGAGGAAGAAGGGCGGATAGAGAAGAAGAAGGGCGGATAGAGAGGAAGAAGGGCGGATAGAGAAGAAGAAGGGCTGATAGAGAGGAAGGAGGGCGGATTGATAGGAAGAAGGGCGGATCGAGAGAAAGAAGGGCGGATAGAGAGGAAGAAGGGCGGATAAAGAGGAGAAGAGCGGATAGAGAAGAAGGGCGGATAGAGAGGAAGAAGGGCGGATAGAGAAGAAGAAGGGCGGATAGAGAGGAAGGAGGGCGGATTGATAGGAAGAAGGGCGGATAGAGAGGAAGAAGGGCGGATAGAGAAGAAGAAGGGCGGATAGAGAGGAAGAAGGGCGGATAGAGAGGAAGAAGGGCGGATAGAGAGGAAGAAGGGCGGATAGAGAGGAAGGAGGGCGGATAGAGAGGAAGGAGGGCGGATAGAGAGGAAGGAGGGCGGATAGAGAGGAAGAAGGGCGGATAGAGAGGAAGAAGGGCGGATAGAGAGGAAGGAGGGCGGATAGAGAGGAAGGAGGGCGGATTGATAGGAAGAAGGGCGGATTGAGAGGAAGAAGGGCGGATAGAGAGGAAGAAGGGGGGATAGAGAGGAAGAAGGGCGGATAGAGAAGAAGAAGGGCGGATAGAGAGGAAGAAGGGCGGATAGAGAGGAAGAAGGGCGGATAGAGAGGAAGAAGGGCGGATAGAGAGGAAGAAGGGCGGATAGAGAGGAAGAAGGGCGGATAGAGAGGAAGAAGGGCCGATAGAGAGGAAGAAGGGCCGATAGAGAGGAAGAAGGGCGGATAGAGAGGAAGAAGGGCGGATAGAGAGGAAGAAGGGCGGATAGAGCAGAAGAAGGGCGGATAGAGAGGAAGAAGGGCGGATTGATAGGAAGAAGGGCGGATAGAGAGGAAGAAGGGCGGATAGAGAGGAAGAAGGGCGGATAGAGAGGAAGGAGGGCGGATTGATAGGAAGAAGGGCGGATAGAGAGGAAGAAGGGCGGATAGGGAGGAAGAAGGGCGGATAGAGAGGAAGAAGGGCGGATAGAGAGGAAGAAGGGCGGATAGAGAGGAAGAAGGGCGGATAGAGAGGAAGAAGGGCGGATAAAGAGGAGAAGAGCGGATAGAGAAGAAGGGCGGATAGAGAGGAAGAAGGGCGGATAGAGAAGAAGAAGGGCGGATAGAGAGGAAGGAGGGCGGATTGATAGGAAGAAGGGCGGATAGAGAGGAAGAAGGGCGGATAGAGAAGAAGAAGGGCGGATAGAGAGGAAGAAGGGCGGATAGAGAGGAAGAAGGGCGGATAGAGAGGAAGGAGGGCGGATAGAGAGGAAGGAGGGCGGATAGAGAGGAAGAAGGGCGGATAGAGAGGAAGAAGGGCGGATAGAGAGGACGAAGGGCGGATAGAGAGGAAAAAGGGCGGATAGAGAGGACAAAGGGCGGATAGAGAGGAAGAAGGGCGGATAGAGAGGACGAAGGGCGGATAGAGAGGAAGAAGGGCGGATAGAGAGGACGAAGGGCGGATAGAGAGGAAGAAGGGCGGATAGAGAGGAAGAAGGGCGGATAGAGAGGAAAAAGGGCGGATAGAGAGGACGAAGGGCGGATAGAGAGGAAGAAGGGCGGATAGAGAGGACGAAGGGCGGATAGAGAGGAAGAAGGGCGGATAGAGAGGAAGAAGGGCGGATAGAGAGGAAGGAGGGCGGATTGATAGGAAGAAGGGCGGATAGAGAGGAAGAAGGGCGGATAGAGAGGAACAAGGGCGGATAGAGAGGAAGAAGGGCGGATAGAGATGAAGAAGGGCGGATAGAGAGGAAGGAGGGCGGATTGATAGAAAGAAGGGCGGAAAGAGAGGAAGAAGGGCGGATAGGGAGGAAGAAGGGCGGATAGAGAGGAAGAAGGGCGGATAGAGAAGAAGGGCGGATAGAGAGGAAAAGGGCGGATAGAGAAGAAGAAGGGCGGATAGAGAGGAAGAAGGGCGGATAGAGAAGAAGAAGGGCTGATAGAGAGGAAGGAGGGCGGATTGATAGGAAGAAGGGCGGATCGAGAGAAAGAAGGGCGGATAGAGAGGAAGAAGGGCGGATAAAGAGGAGAAGAGCGGATAGAGAAGAAGGGCGGATAGAGAGGAAGAAGGGCGGATAGAGAAGAAGAAGGGCGGATAGAGAGGAAGGAGGGCGGATTGATAGGAAGAAGGGCGGATAGAGAGGAAGAAGGGCGGATAGAGAAGAAGAAGGGCGGATAGAGAGGAAGAAGGGCGGATAGAGAGGAAGAAGGGCGGATAGAGAGGAAGAAGGGCGGATAGAGAGGAAGGAGGGCGGATAGAGAGGAAGGAGGGCGGATAGAGAGGAAGGAGGGCGGATAGAGAGGAAGAAGGGCGGATAGAGAGGAAGAAGGGCGGATAGAGAGGAAGGAGGGCGGATAGAGAGGAAGGAGGGCGGATTGATAGGAAGAAGGGCGGATTGAGAGGAAGAAGGGCGGATAGAGAGGAAGAAGGGGGGATAGAGAGGAAGAAGGGCGGATAGAGAAGAAGAAGGGCGGATAGAGAGGAAGAAGGGCGGATAGAGAGGAAGAAGGGCGGATAGAGAGGAAGAAGGGCGGATAGAGAGGAAGAAGGGCGGATAGAGAGGAAGAAGGGCGGATAGAGAGGAAGAAGGGCCGATAGAGAGGAAGAAGGGCCGATAGAGAGGAAGAAGGGCGGATAGAGAGGAAGAAGGGCGGATAGAGAGGAAGAAGGGCGGATAGAGCAGAAGAAGGGCGGATAGAGAGGAAGAAGGGCGGATTGATAGGAAGAAGGGCGGATAGAGAGGAAGAAGGGCGGATAGAGAGGAAGAAGGGCGGATAGAGAGGAAGGAGGGCGGATTGATAGGAAGAAGGGCGGATAGAGAGGAAGAAGGGCGGATAGGGAGGAAGAAGGGCGGATAGAGAGGAAGAAGGGCGGATAGAGAGGAAGAAGGGCGGATAGAGAGGAAGAAGGGCGGATAGAGAGGAAGAAGGGCGGATAAAGAGGAGAAGAGCGGATAGAGAAGAAGGGCGGATAGAGAGGAAGAAGGGCGGATAGAGAAGAAGAAGGGCGGATAGAGAGGAAGGAGGGCGGATTGATAGGAAGAAGGGCGGATAGAGAGGAAGAAGGGCGGATAGAGAAGAAGAAGGGCGGATAGAGAGGAAGAAGGGCGGATAGAGAGGAAGAAGGGCGGATAGAGAGGAAGAAGGGCGGATAGAGAGGAAGGAGGGCGGATAGAGAGGAAGGAGGGCGGATAGAGAGGAAGGAGGGCGGATAGAGAGGAAGAAGGGCGGATAGAGAGGAAGAAGGGCGGATAGAGAGGAAGGAGGGCGGATAGAGAGGAAGGAGGGCGGATTGATAGGAAGAAGGGCGGATTGAGAGGAAGAAGGGCGGATAGAGAGGAAGAAGGGGGGATAGAGAGGAAGAAGGGCGGATAGAGAAGAAGAAGGGCGGATAGAGAGGAAGGAGGGCGGATTGATAGGAAGAAGGGCGGATAGAGAGGAAGAAGGGCGGATAGAGAAGAAGAAGGGCGGATAGAGAGGAAGAAGGGCGGATAGAGAGGAAGAAGGGCGGATAGAGAGGAAGAAGGGCGGATAGAGAGGAAGAAGGGCGGATAGAGAGGAAGAAGGGCGGATAGAGAGGAAGAAGGGCGGATAGAGAGGAAGAAGGGCCGATAGAGAGGAAGAAGGGCCGATAGAGAGGAAGAAGGGCGGATAGAGAGGAAGAAGGGCGGATAGAGAGGAAGAAGGGCGGATAGAGCAGAAGAAGGGCGGATAGAGAGGAAGAAGGGCGGATTGATAGGAAGAAGGGCGGATAGAGAGGAAGAAGGGCGGATAGAGAGGAAGAAGGGCGGATAGAGAGGAAGGAGGGCGGATTGATAGGAAGAAGGGCGGATAGAGAGGAAGAAGGGCGGATAGGGAGGAAGAAGGGCGGATAGAGAGGAAGAAGGGCGGATAGAGAGGAAGAAGGGCGGATAGAGAGGAAGAAGGGCGGAAAGAGAGGAAGAAGGGCGGATAGGGAAGAAGAAGGGCGGATAGAGAGGAAGAAGGGCGGATAGAGAAGAAGGGCGGATAGAGAGGAAGAAGGGCGGATAGAGAAGAAGAAGGGCGGATAGAGAGGAAGAAGGGCGGATAGAGAAGAAGAAGGGCTGATAGAGAGGAGTAGGGCGGATTGATAGGAAGAAGGGCGGATAGAGAGGAAGAAGGGCGGATAGAGAGGAGGAAGGGCGGATAAAGAGGAGAAAAGCGGATAGAGAAGAAGGGCGGATAGAGAGGAAGAAGGGCGGATAGAGAAGAAGAAGGGCGGATAGAGAGGAAGGAGGGCGGATTGATAGGAAGAAGGGCGGATAGAGAGGAAGAATGGCGGATAGAGAAGAAGAAGGGCTGATAGAGAGGAAGGAGGGCGGATTGATAGGAAGAAGGGCGGATAGAGAAGAAGAAGGGCGGATAGAGAGGACGAAGGGCGGATAGAGAGGAAGAAGGGCGGATAGAGAGGACGAAGGGCGGATAGAGAAGAAGAAGGGCGGATAGAGAGGAAGGAGGGCGGATTGATATGAAGAAGGGCAGATAGAGAGGAAGAAGGGCGGATAGAGAAGAAGAAGGGCGGATAGAGAGGAAGAAGGGCGGATAGAGAGGAAGAAGGGCGGATAGAGAGGAAGAAGGGCGGATAGAGAGGAAGAAGGGCGGATAGAGAGGAAGAAGGGCGGATAGAGAGGAAGAAGGGCCGATAGAGAGGAAGAAGGGCCGATAGAGAGGAAGAAGGGCGGATAGAGAGGAAGAAGGGCGGATAGAGAGGAAGAAGGGCGGATAGAGCAGAAGAAGGGCGGATAGAGAGGAAGAAGGGCGGATTGATAGGAAAAAGGGCGGATAGAGAGGAAGAAGGGCGGATAGAGAGGAAGAAGGGCGGATAGAGAGGAAGGAGGGCGGATTGATAGGAAGAAGGGCGGATAGAGAGGAAGAAGGGCGGATAGGGAGGAAGAAGGGCGGATAGAGAGGAAGAAGGGCGGATAGAGAGGAAGAAGGGCGGATAGAGAGGAAGAAGGGCGGATAGAGAGGAAGAAGGGCGGATAAAGAGGAGAAGAGCGGATAGAGAAGAAGGGCGGATAGAGAGGAAGAAGGGCGGATAGAGAAGAAGAAGGGCGGATAGAGAGGAAGGAGGGCGGATTGATAGGAAGAAGGGCGGATAGAGAGGAAGAAGGGCGGATAGAGAAGAAGAAGGGCGGATAGAGAGGAAGAAGGGCGGATAGAGAGGAAGAAGGGCGGATAGAGAGGAAGAAGGGCGGATAGAGAGGAAGGAGGGCGGATAGAGAGGAAGGAGGGCGGATAGAGAGGAAGGAGGGCGGATAGAGAGGAAGAAGGGCGGATAGAGAGGAAGAAGGGCGGATAGAGAGGAAGGAGGGCGGATAGAGAGGAAGGAGGGCGGATTGATAGGAAGAAGGGCGGATTGAGAGGAAGAAGGGCGGATAGAGAGGAAGAAGGGGGGATAGAGAGGAAGAAGGGCGGATAGAGAAGAAGAAGGGCGGATAGAGAGGAAGGAGGGCGGATTGATAGGAAGAAGGGCGGATAGAGAGGAAGAAGGGCGGATAGAGAAGAAGAAGGGCGGATAGAGAGGAAGAAGGGCGGATAGAGAGGAAGAAGGGCGGATAGAGAGGAAGAAGGGCGGATAGAGAGGAAGAAGGGCGGATAGAGAGGAAGAAGGGCGGATAGAGAGGAAGAAGGGCGGATAGAGAGGAAGAAGGGCCGATAGAGAGGAAGAAGGGCCGATAGAGAGGAAGAAGGGCGGATAGAGAGGAAGAAGGGCGGATAGAGAGGAAGAAGGGCGGATAGAGCAGAAGAAGGGCGGATAGAGAGGAAGAAGGGCGGATTGATAGGAAGAAGGGCGGATAGAGAGGAAGAAGGGCGGATAGAGAGGAAGAAGGGCGGATAGAGAGGAAGGAGGGCGGATTGATAGGAAGAAGGGCGGATAGAGAGGAAGAAGGGCGGATAGGGAGGAAGAAGGGCGGATAGAGAGGAAGAAGGGCGGATAGAGAGGAAGAAGGGCGGATAGAGAGGAAGAAGGGCGGAAAGAGAGGAAGAAGGGCGGATAGGGAAGAAGAAGGGCGGATAGAGAGGAAGAAGGGCGGATAGAGAAGAAGGGCGGATAGAGAGGAAGAAGGGCGGATAGAGAAGAAGAAGGGCGGATAGAGAGGAAGAAGGGCGGATAGAGAAGAAGAAGGGCTGATAGAGAGGAGTAGGGCGGATTGATAGGAAGAAGGGCGGATAGAGAGGAAGAAGGGCGGATAGAGAGGAGGAAGGGCGGATAAAGAGGAGAAAAGCGGATAGAGAAGAAGGGCGGATAGAGAGGAAGAAGGGCGGATAGAGAAGAAGAAGGGCGGATAGAGAGGAAGGAGGGCGGATTGATAGGAAGAAGGGCGGATAGAGAGGAAGAATGGCGGATAGAGAAGAAGAAGGGCTGATAGAGAGGAAGGAGGGCGGATTGATAGGAAGAAGGGCGGATAGAGAAGAAGAAGGGCGGATAGAGAGGACGAAGGGCGGATAGAGAGGAAGAAGGGCGGATAGAGAGGACGAAGGGCGGATAGAGAAGAAGAAGGGCGGATAGAGAGGAAGGAGGGCGGATTGATATGAAGAAGGGCAGATAGAGAGGAAGAAGGGCGGATAGAGAGGAAGAAGGGCGCATAGAGAGGAAGAAGGGCGGATAGAGAGGAAGAAGGGCGGATAGAGAGGAAGAAGGGCGGATAGAGAGGAAGAAGGGCGGATAGGGAGGAAGAAGGGCGGATAGAGAGGAAGAAGGGCGGATAGAGAAGAAGAAGGGCGGATAGAGAGGAAGAAGGGCGGATAGAGAGGAAGAAGGGCGGATAGAGAGGAAGAAGGGCGGATAGAGAGGAAGAAGGGCGGAAAGAGAGGAAGAAGGGCGGATAGAGAGGAAGAAGGGCAAATAGAGAGGAAGAAGGGCGGATACAGAGGAAGAAGGGCGGATAGAGAGGAAGGAGGGCGGATTGATAGGAAGAAGGGCGGATAGAGAGGAAGAAGGGCGGATAGAGCAGAAGAAGGGCGGATAGAGAGGAAGAAGGGCGGATTGAGAGGAAGAAGGGCGGATAGAGAGGAAGAAGGGCGGATAGAGAGGAAGAAGGGCGGATAGAGAGGAAGGAGGGCGGATTGATAGGAAGAAGGGCGGATAGAGAGGAAGAAGGGCGGATAGGGAGGAAGAAGGGCGGATAGAGAGGAAGAAGGGCGGATAGAGAGGAAGAAGGGCGGATAGAGAGGAAGAAGGGCAGATAGAGAGGAAGAAGGGCGTATAGAGAGGAAGATGGGCGGATAGAGAGGAAGAAGGGCGGATAGAGAGGAAGATGGGCGGATAGAGAGGAAGAAGGGCGGATAGAGAGGAAGAAGGGCGGATAAACAGGAAGAAGGGCGGATAGAGAAGAAGAAGGGCTGATAGAGAGGAAGGAGGGCGGATTGATAGGAAGAAGGGCGGATAGAGAGGAAGAAGGGCGGATAGAGAAGAAGGGCGGATAGAGAGGAAGGAGGGCGGATAGAGAGGAAGAAGGGCGGATAGAGAGGAAGAAGGGCGGATAGAGAGGAAGAAGGGCGGATAGAGAGGAAGAAGGGCGGATAGAGAGGAAGAAGGGCGGATAGAGAGGAAGGAGGGCGGATTGATAGGAAGAAGGGCGGATAGAGAGGAAGAAGGGCGGATAGGGAGGAAGAAGGCCGGATAGAGAGGAAGAAGGGCGGATAGAGAGGAAGAAGGGCGGATAGAGAGGAAGAAGGGCGGATAGAGCAGAAGAAGGGCGGATAGAGAGGAAGAAGGGCGGATAGAGAGGAAGAAGGGCGGATAGAGAGGAAGAAAGGCAAATAGAGAGGAAGAAGGGCGGATAGAGAGGAAGGAGGGCGGATAGAGAGGAAGGAGGGCGGATTTATAGGAAGAAGGGCAGATAGAGAGGAAGAAGGGCGGAAAGAGAGGAAGAAGGGCGGATAGAGAGGAAGAAGGGCGGATAGAGAGGAAGAAGGGCGGATAGAGAGGAAGAAGGGTGGATAGAGAGGAAGAAGGGCGGATAGAGAAGAAGAAGGGCTGATAGAGAGGAAGGAGGGCGGATTGATAGGAAGAAGGGGGGATAGAGAGGAAGAAGGGCAGATAGAGAGGAAGAAGGGCGGATAGGGAGGAAGAAGAGCGGATAGAGAAGAAGAAGGGCGGATAGAGAGGAAGAAGGGCGGATAGAGAAGAAGAAGGGCGGATAGAGAGGAAGGAGGGCGGAGTGATAGGAAGAAGGGCGGATAGAGAGGACGAAGGGCGGATAGAGAGGAAGAAGGGCGGATAGAGAGGACGAAGGGCGGATAGAGAGGAAGAAGGGAGGATAGAGAGGAAGGAGGGCGGATAGAGAAGAAGGAGGGCAGATAGAGAAGAAGAAGGGCGGATTGAGAGGAAGAAGGGCGGATAGATAGGAAGAAGGGCGGATAGAGAGGACGAAGGGCGGATAGAGAGGAAGAAGGGCGGATAGAGAAGAAGAAGGGCGGATAGAGAGGAAGGAGGGCGGATTGATAGGAAGAAGGGCGGATAGAGAGGAAGAAGGGCGGATAGAGCAGAAGAAGGGCGGATAGAGAGGAAGAAGGGCGGATTGAGAGGAAGAAGGGCGGATAGAGAGGAAGAATGGCGGATAGAGAGGAAGAAGGGCGGATAGAGAGGAAGGAGGGCGGATTGAGAGGAAGAAGGGCGGATAGGGAGGAAGAAGGGCGGATATGGAGGATGAAGGGCGGATAGATAGGAAGAAGGGCGGATAGAGAGGAAGAAGGGCGGATAGAGAAGAAGAAGGGCGGATAGAGAGGAAGAAGGGCGGATAGAGAGGAAGAAGGGCGGATAGAGAGGAAGAAGGGCGGATAGAGAGGAAGGAGGGCGGATAGAGAGGAAGGTGGGCGGATTGATAGGAAGAAGGGCAGATAGAGAGGAAGAAGGGCGTATAGAGAAGAAGAAGGGCAGATAGAGAAGAAGAAGGGCGGATAGAGAGGTAGAAGGGCGGATAGAGAGGAAGAAGGGCGGATAGAGAAGAAGGGCGGATAGAGAGGAAGAAGGGCGGATAGAGAGGAGGAAGGGCGGATAGAGAGGAAGAAGGGCGGATAGAGAGGAGGAAGGGCGGATAGAGAGGAGGAAGGGGGAATAGCGAGGAGGAAGGGCGGATAGAGAGGAAGAAGGGCGGATAGAGAGGAAAGAAGGGCGGATAGAGAGGAAGAAGGGCGGATAGAGAGGAAGGGCGGATAGAGAGGAAGAAGGGCGGATAGAGAGGAAGAAGGGCGGATAAAGAGGAAGGAGGGCAGATAGAGAAGAATAAGGGCGGATAAAGAGGAAGGAAGGCGGATTGATAGGAAGAAGGGCGGATAGAGAGGAAGAAGGGCGGATAGAGAGGAAGAAGGGCGGATAGAGAAGAAGAAGGGCGGATAGAGAATAAGAAGGGCGGATAGAGAAGAAGAAGGGCGGATAGAGAGGAAGGAGGGCGGATAGAGAGGAAGAAGGGCAGATAGAGAGGAAGAAGGGCGGATAGGGAGGAAGAAGGGCGGATAGAGAGGAAGAAGGGCGGTTAGAGAGGAAGGAGGGCGGAGTGATAGGAAGAAGGGCGGATAGAGAGGACGAAGGGCGGATAGAGAGGACGAAGGGCGGATAGAGAGGACGAAGGGCAGATAGAGAGGAAGAATGGCGGATAGAGAGGACGAAGGGCGGATAGAGAGGAAGAAGGGCGGATAGAGAGGAAGAAGGGCGGATAGAGAGGAAGAAGGGCGGATAGAGAGGAAGGAGGGCGGATAGAGAGTAAGGTGGGCGGATTGATAGGAAGAAGGGCAGATAGAGAGGAAGAAGGGCGTATAGAGAAGAAGAAGGGCGGATAGAGAAGAAGAAGGGCGGATAGAGAGGAAGAAGGGCGGATAGAGAGGAAGAAGGGCGGATAGAGAAGAAGAAGGGCGGATAGAGAGGAAGAAGGGCGGATAGAGAGGAGGAAGGGCGGATAGAGAGGAAGAAGGGCGGATAGAGAGGAGGAAGGGCGGATAGAGAGGAGGAAGGGGGAATAGCGAGGAGGAAGGGCGGATAGAGAGGAAGAAGGGCGGATAGAGAGGAAAGAAGGGCGGATAGAGAGGAAGAAGGGCGGATAGAGAGGAAGAAGGGCGGATAGAGAGGAAGAAGGGCGGATAGAGAGGAAGAAGGGCGGAGAGAGAGGAAGAAGGGCGGATAAAGAGGAAGGAGGGCGGATAGAGAAGAATAAGGGCGGATAAAGAGGAAGGAAGGCGGATTGATAGGAAGAAGGGCGGATAGAGAGGAAGAAGGGCGGATAGAGAGGAAGAAGGGCGGATAGAGAAGAAGAAGGGCGGATAGAGAATAAGAAGGGCGGATAGAGAAGAAGAAGGGCGGATAGAGAGGAAGGAGGGCGGATAGAGAGGAAGAAGGGCGGATAGAGAGGAAGAAGGGCGGATAGGGAGGAAGAAGGGCGAATAGAGAGGAAGAAGGGCGGTTAGAGAGGAAGGAGGGCGGAGTGATAGGAAGAAGGGCGGACAGAGAGGACGAAGGGCGGATAGAGAGGAAGAAGGGCGGATAGAGAGGACGAAGGGCAGATAGAGAGGAAGAAGGGCGGATAGAGAGGACGAAGGGCGGATAGAGAGGAAGAAGGGCGGATAGAGAGGAAAAAGGGCGGATAGAGAGGAAAAAGGGCGGATAGAGAGGATGCAGGGCGGATAGAGAGGAAGAAGGGCGGATAGAGAGGACGAAGGGCGGATAGAGAGGAAGGAGGGCGGATAGAGAGGAAGGAGGGCGGATAGAGAGGAAGGAGGGCGGATTGGTAGGAAGAAGGGCGGATAGAGAGGAAGAAGGGCGGATAGAGAGGAAGAAGGGCTGATAAAGAAGAAGAAGGGCGGATAGAGAGGAAGAAGGGCGGATACAGAAGAAGAAGGGCAGATAGAGAAGAAGGAGGGCGGATAGAGAAGAAGAAGGGCGGATTGGAAGGAAGAAGGGCGGATAGAGAGGAAGAAGGGCGGATAGAGAGGAAGAAGGGCGGATAGAGAGGACGAAGGGCAGATAGAGAGGAAGAAGGGCAGATAGAGAGGACGAAGGGCGTATAGAGAGGAAGGTGGGCGGATTGATAGGAAGAAGGGCGGATAGAGAGGAAGGTGGGCGGATTGATAGGAAGAAGGGCGGATAGAGAGGAAGAAGGGCGTATAGAGAAGAAGAAGGGCGGATAGAGAAGAAGAAGGGCGGATAGAGAGGAAGAAGGGCGGATAGAGAGGAAGAAGGGCGGATAGAGAAGAAGAAGGGCGGATAGAGAGGAAGAAGGGCGGATAGAGACGAGGAAGGGCGGATAGAGAGGAAGAAGGGCGGATAGAGAGGAGGAAGGGCGGATAGAGAGGAGGAAGGGGGAATAGCGAGGAGGAAGGGCGGATAGAGAGGAAGAAGGGCGGATAGGGAGGAAAGAAGGGCGGATATAGAGGAAGAAGGGCGGATACAGAGGAAGAAGGGCGGATAGAGAGGAAGAAGGGCGAATAGAGAGGAAGAAGGGCGGAGAGAGAGGAAGAAGGGCGGATAAAGAGGAAGGAGGGCGGATAGAGAGGAATAAGGGCGGATAAAGAGGAAGGAAGGCGGATTGATAGGAAGAAGGGCGGATAGAGAGGAAGAAGGGCGGATAGAGAGGAAGAAGGGCGGATAGAGAAGAAGAAGGGCGGATAGAGGATAAGAAGGGCGGATAGAGAAGAAGAAGGGCGGATAGAGAGGAAGGAGGGCGGATAGAGAGGAAGAAGGGTGGATAGAGAGGAAGAAGGGCGGATAGGGAGGAAGAAGGGCGGATAGAGAAGAAGAAGGGCGGATAGAGAGGAAGAAGGGCGGATAGAGAGGAAGAAGGGCGGATAGAGAAGAAGAAGGGCGGATAGAGAGGAAGAAGGGCGGATAGAGAGGAGGAAGGGCGGATAGAGAGGAAGAAGGGCGGATAGAGAGGAGGAAGGGCGGATAGAGAGGAGGAAGGGGGAATAGCGAGGAGGAAGGGCGGATAGAGAGGAAGAAGGGCGGATAGAGAGGAAAGAAGGGCGGATAGAGAGGAAGAAGGGCGGATAGAGAGGAAGAAGGGCGGATAGAGAGGAAGAAGGGCGGATAGAGAGGAAGAAGGGCGGAGAGAGAGGAAGAAGGGCGGATAAAGAGGAAGGAGGGCGGATAGAGAAGAATAAGGGCGGATAAAGAGGAAGGAAGGCGGATTGATAGGAAGAAGGGCGGATAGAGAGGAAGAAGGGCGGATAGAGAGGAAGAAGGGCGGATAGAGAAGAAGAAGGGCGGATAGAGAATAAGAAGGGCGGATAGAGAAGAAGAAGGGCGGATAGAGAGGAAGGAGGGCGGATAGAGAGGAAGAAGGGCGGATAGAGAGGAAGAAGGGCGGATAGGGAGGAAGAAGGGCGAATAGAGAGGAAGAAGGGCGGTTAGAGAGGAAGGAGGGCGGAGTGATAGGAAGAAGGGCGGACAGAGAGGACGAAGGGCGGATAGAGAGGAAGAAGGGCGGATAGAGAGGACGAAGGGCAGATAGAGAGGAAGAAGGGCGGATAGAGAGGACGAAGGGCGGATAGAGAGGAAGAAGGGCGGATAGAGAGGAAAAAGGGCGGATAGAGAGGAAAAAGGGCGGATAGAGAGGATGCAGGGCGGATAGAGAGGAAGAAGGGCGGATAGAGAGGACGAAGGGCGGATAGAGAGGAAGGAGGGCGGATAGAGAGGAAGGAGGGCGGATAGAGAGGAAGGAGGGCGGATTGGTAGGAAGAAGGGCGGATAGAGAGGAAGAAGGGCGGATAGAGAGGAAGAAGGGCTGATAAAGAAGAAGAAGGGCGGATAGAGAGGAAGAAGGGCGGATAGAGAAGAAGAAGGGCAGATAGAGAAGAAGGAGGGCGGATAGAGAAGAAGAAGGGCGGATTGGAAGGAAGAAGGGCGGATAGAGAGGAAGAAGGGCGGATAGAGAGGAAGAAGGGCGGATAGAGAGGACGAAGGGCAGATAGAGAGGAAGAAGGGCAGATAGAGAGGACGAAGGGCGTATAGAGAGGAAGGTGGGCGGATTGATAGGAAGAAGGGCGGATAGAGAGGAAGGTGGGCGGATTGATAGGAAGAAGGGCGGATAGAGAGGAAGAAGGGCGTATAGAGAAGAAGAAGGGCGGATAGAGAAGAAGAAGGGCGGATAGAGAGGAAGAAGGGCGGATAGAGAGGAAGAAGGGCGGATAGAGAAGAAGAAGGGCGGATAGAGAGGAAGAAGGGCGGATAGAGAGGAAGAAGGACGGATAGAGAGGAAGAAGGGCGGATAGAGAGGAAGGAGGGCGGATTGAGAGGAAGAAGGGCGGATAGGGAGGAAGAAGGGCGGATAGGGAGGAAGGAGGGCGGATAGAGAGGAAGAAGGGCGGATAGAGAGGAAGAAGGGCGGATAGAGAGCAAGAAGGGCGGATAGAGAGGAAGAAGGGCGGATAGGGAAGAAGAAGGGCGGATAGAGAAGAAGAAGGGCGGATTGAGAGGAAGAAGGTTGGATAGGGAGGAAGAAGGGCGGATATGGAGGAAGAAGGGCGGATAGATAGGAAGAAGGGCGGATAGAGAGGAAGAAGGGCGGATAGAGAAGAAAGAAGGGCGGATAGAGAGGAAGAAGGGCGGATAGAGAGGAAGAAGGGCGGATAGAGAGGAAGGAGGGCGGATAGAGAGGAAGGAGGGCGGATTGATAGGAATAAGGGCGGATAGAGAGGAAGAAGGGCGGATAGAGAAGAAGAAGGGCGGATAGAGAAGAAGAAGGGCGGATAGAGAGGAAGAAGGGCGGATAGAGAGGAAGAAAGGCGGATAGAGAAGAAGAAGGGCGGATAGAGAGGAAGAAGGGCGGATAGAGAGGAGGAAGGGCGGATAGAGAGGAAGAAGGGCGGATAGAGAGGAGGAAGGGCGGATAGAGAGGAGGAAGGGGGAATAGCGAGGAGGAAGGGCGGATAGAGAGGAAGAAGTGCGGATAGAGAGGAAAGAAGGGCGGATAGAGAGGAAGAAGGCCGGATAGAGAGGAAGAAGGGCGGATAGAGAGGAAGAAGGGCGGAGAGAGAGGAAGAAGGGCGGATAAAGAGGATGGAGGGCGGATAGAGAAGAAGGGCGGATAAAGAGGAAGGAAGGCGGATTGATAGGAAGAAGGGCGGATAGAGAGGAAGAAGGGCGGATAGAGAGGAAGAAGGGCGGATAGAGAAGAAGAAGGGCGGATAGAGAATAAGAAGGGCGGATAGAGAAGAAGAAGGGCGGATAGAGAGGAAGAAGGGCGGATAGAGAGGAAGAAGGGCGGATAGGGAGGAAGAAGGGCGGATAGAGAGGAAGAAGGGCGGTTAGAGAGGAAGGAGGGCGGAGTGATAGGAAGAAGGGCGGATAGAGAGGAAGAAGGGCGGATAGAGAGGAAGAAGGGCGGACAGAGAGGACGAAGGGCAGATGGAGAGGAAGAAGGGCGGACAGAGAGGACGAAGGGCGGATAGAGAGGAAGAAGGGCGGATAGAGAGGACGAAGGGCGGATAGAGAGGACGAAGGGCGGATAGAGAGGAAGAAGGGCGGATAGAGAGGAAGAAGGGCGGATTGAGAGGAAGAAGGGCGGAATGATAGGAAGAAGGGCGGATAGAGAGGAAGAAGGGCGGATAAAGAAGAAGAAGGGCGGATAGAGAGGAAGAAGGGCGGATAGAGAGGAAGAAGGGCGGATTGAGAGGAAGAAGGGCGGATAGAGAGGAAGAAGGGCGGATAGGGAGGAAGAAGGGCGGATAGAGAGGAAGAAGGGCGGATAGGGAGGAAGAAGGGCGGATAGGGAGGAAGAAGGGCGGATAGAGAGGAAGAAGGGCGGATAGAGAGGAAGAAGGGCGGATAGAGAGGAAGAAGGGCGGATAGAGAGGAAGAAGGGCGGATAGGGAGGAAGAAGGGCGGATAGGGAGGAAGAAGGGCAGATAGAGAGGAAGAAGGGCGGATAGAGAGGAAGAAGGGCGGATAGAGAGGAAGAAGGGCGGATAGAGAAGAAGAAGGGCGGATAGAGAGGAAGGAGGGCGGATAGAGAGGAAGAAGGGCGGATAGAGAGGAAGAAGGGCGGATAGAGAGGACGAAGGGCGGATAGAGAGGAAGAAGGGCGGATAGAGAGGACGAAGGGCGGATAGAGAGGACGAAGGGCGGATAGAGAGGAAGAAGGGCGGATAGAGAGGAAGAAAGGCGGATAGAGAGGAAGAAGGGCGGATAGAGACGAACAAGGGCGGATAGAGAGGAAGAAGGACGGATAGAGAGGAAGAAGGGCGGATGGAGAGGAAGAAGGGCGGATAGAGAGGAAGAAGGGCGGATAGGGAGGAAGAAGGGCGGATTGAGAGGAAGAAGGGCGGAAAGAGAGGAAGAAGGGCGAATGGGAAGAAGAAGGGCGGATAGAGAGGAAGAAGGGCGGATAGGGAGGAAGAAGGGCGGATAGAGAGGAAGAAGGGCGGATAGAGAGGAAGAAGGGCGGATAGAGAGGACGAAGGGCGGATAGAGAGGAAGAAGGGCGGATAGAGAGGAAGAAGGGCGGATAGAGAAGAAGAAGGGCGGATAGCGAGGAAGGAGGGCGGATAGAGAGGAAGAAGGGCGGATAGAGAGGAAGAAGGGCGGATAGAGAGGACGAAGGGCGGATAGAGAGGAAGAAGGGCGGATAGAGAGGAAGAAGGGCGGATAGAGAGGACGAAGGGCGGATAGAGAGGAAGAAGGGCGGATAGAGAGGAAGAAAGGCGGATAGAGAGGAAGAAGGGCGGATAGAGACAAACAAGGGCGGATAGAGAGGAAGAAGGACGGATAGAGAGGAAGAAGGGCGGATGGAGAGGAAGAAGGGCGGATAGAGAGGAAGAAGGGCGGATAGGGAGGAAGAAGGGCGGATTGAGAGGAAGAAGGGCGAATAGAGAGGAAGAAGGGCGGATAGGGAGGAAGAAGGGCGGATAGAGAGGAAGAAGGGCGGATAGGGAGGAAGAAGGGCGGATAGAGAGGAAGAAGGGCGGATAGAGAGGAAGAAGGGCGGATAGAGAGGACGAAGGGCGGATAGAGAGGAAGAAGGGCGGATAGAGAGGAAGAAGGGCGGATAGAGAAGAAGAAGGGCGGATAGAGAGGACGAAGGTGTTAGAGACTAAGGACGGAGTCTAGAAGCTTAGGAGCCGAAATTATCACAAAATCGTTGGCTTAGAATTCTGGACAGAAACGTCGACTTCACAAGAAACGTTGTCGACGAAAGGTGCACCGTTAGAATCCCACGAATTTCGAATATGTTGTAGCCCTAGACCGTGGCTACATTTCCCAGTTTGAATCGTATCAAAATATGAAGTATATTTTGAGTTCTGCTTTTCGGCGCACTAAGGGGTATGCTGCCACAGAAATTTAACTCAATCACAATTAACTCACAAGTCCAAAAAAACATTGGAGTAGCACTAAACCAGGTAGGAGGGGAAGAGGAGGACGAGAGGGAAGGCCCCAAGGGAGTCCCCAACCAAGGAAACCCCATACCACACAATTCCCTTCCCCATAGGCAACAAACTTTGACCTTTGTCACTTTCCAACCCATGCCATCCACCTCACCCAACTTGGCCACACTTGCCAACCTGGTTTGGCACCCCCAAGATTCTGTACTCCTTATGGAGTCAACACCACAACTTCCCATAGTCACCACAACCAAATATCAAAAGCATACGAACTTCCAACGTTCGTAACTTTCTTGTTCGTGCTCCGATTGAAGCGATACTTGGTTCGTCGGAAAGCTCTTGAGCAGAGGAGTCACTTCAGATATCTGCTCAAGCCAAATAACATTCACACACACTCAGAAAAACCAAACCGCACAAAACACAAAGTCTTGCATACGCTCAGACCACGCATGCAACGCACGAACACATGATGGGAGGCAGACAGACGTGAATGCGTATGATTGCATCACACAACAGAAGGGCGAATAGAGAGGAAGATGGGCGGATAGAGAGGAAGAAAGGCGGATAGAGAGGAAGAAGGGCGGATAGAGAGGAAGAAGGGCGGATAGAGAGGAAGAAGGGCGGATAGAGAGGAAGAAGGGCGGAAAGAGAAGAAGAAGGGCGGATAGAGAGGAAGAAGGACGGATAGAGAGGAAGAAGGGCGGATAGAGAGGAAGGAGGGCGGATTGAGAGGAAGAAGGGCGGATAGGGAGGAAGAAGGGCGGATAGGGAGGAAGGAGGGCGGATAGAGAGGAAGAAGGGCGGATAGAGAGGAAGAAGGGCGGATAGAGAGGAAGAAGGGCGGATAGAGAGGAAGAAGGGCGGATAGGGAGGAAGAAGGGCGGATAGAGAAGAAGAAGGGCGGATTGAGAGGAAGAAGGGCGGATAGATAGGAAGAAGGGCGGATAGAGAGGAAGAAGGGCGGATAGAGAGGAAGAAGGGCGGATAGAGAGGAAGAAGGGCGGATAGAGAAGAAGAAGGGTGGATAGAGAGGAAGAAGGACGGATAGAGAGGAAGAAGGGCGGATAGAGAGGAAGGAGGGCGGATTGAGAGGAAGAAGGGTGGATAGGGAGGAAGAAGGGCGGATATGGAGGAAGAAGGGCGGATAGATAGGAAGAAGAGCGGATAGAGAGGAAGAAGGGCGGATAGAGAGGAAGAAGGGCGGATAGAGAGGAAGAAGGGCGGATAGAGAGGAAGAAGGGCGGATAGAGAGGAAGAAGGGCGGATAGAGAGGAAGGAGGAAGGATAGAGAGGAAGGAGGGCGGATTGATAGGAAGAAGGGCGGATAGAGAGGAAGAAGGGCGGATAGAGAAGAAGAAGGGCGGATAGAGAAGAAGAAGGGCGGATAGAGAGGAAGAAGGGCGGATAGAGAGGAAGAAAGGCGGATAGAGAAGAAGAAGGGCAGATAGAGAGGAGGAAGGGCGGATAGAGAGGAAGAAGGGCGGATAGAGAGGAGGAAGGGCGGATAGAGAGGAAGAAGGGCGGATAGAGAGGAGGAAGGGCGGATAGAGAGGAGGAAGGGGGAATAGCGAGGAGGAAGGGCGGATAGAGAGGAAGAAGTGCGGATAGAGAGGAAAGAAGGGCGGATAGAGAGGAAGAAGGGCGGATAGAGAGGAAGAAGGGCGGATAGAGAGGAAGAAGGGCGGAGAGAGAGGAAGAAGGGCGGATAAAGAGGAAGGAGGGCGGATAGAGAAGAAGGGCGGATAAAGAGGAAGGAAGGCGGATTGATAGGAAGAAGGGCGGATAGAGAGGAAGAAGGGCGGATAGAGAAGAAGAAGGGCGGATAGAGAAGAAGAAGGGCGGATAGAGAATAAGAAGGGCGGATAGAGAAGAAGAAGGGCGGATAGAGAGGAAGGAGGGCGGATAGAGAGGAAGAAGGGCGGATAGAGAGGAAGAAGGGCGGATAGGGAGGAAGAAGGGCGGATAGAGAGGAAGAAGGGCGGTTAGAGAGGAAGGAGGGCGGAGTGATAGGAAGAAGGGCGGATAGAGAGGACGAAGGGCGGATAGAGAGGAAGAAGGGCGGATAGAGAGGACGAAGGGCAGATAGAGAGGAAGAAGGGCGGATAGAGAGGACGAAGGGCGGATAGAGAGGATGAAGGGCGGATAGAGAGGACGAAGGGCGGATAGAGAGGACGAAGGGCGGATAGAGAGGAAGAAGGGCGGATAGAGAGGAAGAAGGGCGGATTGAGAGGAAGAAGGGCGGAATGATAGGAAGAAGGGCGGATAGAGAGGAAGAAGGGCGGATAAAGAAGAAGAAGGGCGGATAGAGAGGAAGAAGGGCGGATAGAGAGGAAGAAGGGCGGATTGAGAGGAAGAAGGGCGGATAGAGAGGAAGGAGGGCGGATAGAGAGGAAGGAGGGCGTATTGATAGGAAGAAGGGCGGATAGAGAGGAAGAAGGGCGGATAGGGAGGAACAAGGGCGGATAGAGAGAAAGAAGGGCGGATAGAGAGGAAGAAGGGCGGATAGAGAGGAAGAAGGGCGGATAGGGAGGAAGAAGGGCGGATAGGGAGGAAGAAGGGCGGATAGAGAGGAAGAAGGGCGGATAGGGAGGAAGAAGGGCGGATAGAGAGGAAGAAGGGCGGATAGAGAGGAAGAAGGGCGGATAGAGAGGAAGAAGGGCGGATAGAGAGGAAGAAGGGCGGATAGGGAGGAAGAAGGGCGGATTGAGAGGAAGAAGGGCGGATAGAGAGGAAGAAGGGCGGATAGGGAGGAAGAAGGGCGGATAGAGAGGAAGAAGGGCGGATAGGGAGGAAGAAGGGCGGATAGAGAGGAAGGAGGGCGGATAGAGAGGACGAAGGGCGGATAGAGAGGAAGAAGGGCGGATAGAGAGGAAGAAGGGCGGATAGTGAGGAAGAAGGGCGGATAAAGAGGAAGAAGGGCGGATAGAGAGGACGAAGGGCGGATAGAGAGGAAGAAGGGCGGATAGAGAGGAAGAAAGGCGGATAGAGAGGAAGAAGGGCGGATAGAGACGAACAAGGGCGGATAGAGAGGAAGAAGGACGGACAGAGAGGAAGAAGGGCGGATGGAGAGGAAGAAGGGCGGATAGAGAGGAAGAAGGGCGGATAGGGAGGAAGAAGGGCGGATTGAGAGGAAGAAGGGCGGATAGAGAGGAAGAAGGGCGGATAGGGAGGAAGAAGGGCGGATAGAGAGGAAGAAGGGCGGATAGGGAGGAAGAAGGGCGGATAGAGAGGAAGAAGGGCGGATAGAGAGGAAGAAGGGCGGATAGAGAGGACGAAGGGCGGATAGAGAGGAAGAAGGGCGGATAGAGAGGAAGAAAGGCGGATAGAGAGGAAGAAGGGCGGATAGAGAAGAAGGGCGGATAGAGAGGAAGAAGGGCGGAAAGAGAAGAAGAAGGGTGGAAAGAGAGGAAGGAGGTTGGATTGATAGGAAGAAGGGCGGATAGAGAGGAAGAAGGGCAGATAGAGAAGAAGAAGGGCGGATAGAGAGGAAGAAGGGGGGATAGAGAGGAAGAAGGGCGGATAGAGAAGAGGAAGGGCGGATAGAGAGGAAGAAGGGCGGATGGAGAAGAAGAAGGGCGGATAGAGAGGAAGAAGGGCGGATAGAGAAGAAGAAGGGCGGATAGAGAGGAAGGAGTGCGGATTGATAGGAAGAAGGGCGGATAGAGAGGAAGAAGGGCGGATAAAGAGGAAGAAGGGCGGATAGAGAAGAAGAAGGGCGGATAGAGAGGACGAAGGGCGGATAGAGAGGAAGAAGGGCGGATAGAGAGGAGAAAAGGGCGGATAGAGAGGAAGAAGGGCGGATAGAGAGGAAGAAGGGCGGATTGAGAGGAAAAAAGGGCGGATAGAGAGGAAGAAGGGCGGATAGAGAAGAAGAAGGGCGGATAGAGAGGAAGAAGGGCGGATAGAGAGGAAGAAGGGCGGATAGAGAGGAAGAAGGGCGGATAGGGAGGAAGAAGGGCAGATAGAGAGGAGGAAGGGCGAATAGAGAGGAGGAAGGGCGGATAGAGAGGAAGAAGGGCGGATAGAGAGGAAGAAGGGCAGATAGAGAGGAGGAAGGGCGAATAGAGAGGAGGAAGGGCGAATAGAGAGGAGGAAGGGCGGATAGAGAGGAAGAAGGGCGGATAGAGAGGAAGAAGGGCGGATAGAGAGGAAGAAGGGCGGATAGAGAGAAAGAAGGGCGGATAGAGAGGAAGAAGGGCGGATAGGGAGGAAGAAGGGCGGATAGAGAGGAAGAAGGGCGGATAGAGAGGAAGAAGGGCGGATAGAGAGCAAGAAGGGCAGATAGAGAGGAGGAAGGGCGAATAGAGAGGAGGAAGGGCGGATAGAGAGGAAGAAGGGCGGATAGAGAGGAAGAAGGGCAGATAGAGAGGAGGAAGGGCGAATAGAGAGGAGGAAGGGCGAATAGAGAGGAGGAAGGGCGGATAGAGAGGAAGAAGGGCGGATAGAGAGGAAGAAGGGCGGATAGAGAGAAAGAAGGGCGGATAGAGAGGAAGAAGGGCGGATAGAGAGGAAGAAGGGCGGATAGAGAGGAAGAAGGGCGGATAGAGAGGAAGAAGGGCGGATAGAGAGGAAGAAGGGCGGATAGAGAGGAAGGAGGGCGGTTAGAGAAGAAGAAGGGTGGATAGGGAGGAAGAAGGGAAGATAGAGAGGAGGAAGGGCGAATAGAGAGGAGGAAGGGCGGATAGAGAGGAAGAAGGGCGGATAGAGAGGA